AAAGTCCCCATACAAACCAATGTATTCAAAACCTCATTTTAACGAGGCAAAATTTGCCTGTTATGGGACATAACGAACTAATTTTGTCAGGAAGTAAAATTTTGAGCCGATGTCCCGACAGTGCACAACGCGAATTTCAGACGGCGTGCAACGCAAGAACGGTATTTAGCAGTTCAAAACTCCCGCCACGCGCCCTCCAGCAACGCGCGCAAAGCAGACGGCACGCGCTGTTTCCGGAGGAGAGGTCGCTGCACGTGCGCCGCTTGGCTACCACTGACAGCGGAGCGCTCCGCAGCTCCGCTGTCGCAAAAGAGCGCCCCTTCTGCCCCTTCCTCTTCACAGTCACTTTCTCTGCAAGTGTTGTCGCTCGCCGATGTGAGCCGCGTTGCTTTTGCGTGCGTGTTTCTTCTCTTTTTCGACCGCTTCCGCCTTATCTTTTATCGTGCTGCGCTCGTGATTCCAGCAACATGAATGCGCCAGGCGGGAAGCGAAAGCGCGTAAAGCTAGATCAGAAGGCGGCTATGATAAGAGCCGTTGAATCGGGGACCAAGAAAGGCAACGTGACAAGAGACTTTGGCGTATCGACGAGCACACTATCAACCATCTTGAGCAAGCAGGAGTCCATCATCGACGCTGTTGCACGTGGCGTGAAAGGAAGCGCTAAGAGGATGAGGGCACCTACCTTTGAAGCGGTCGAAAGGGCCGTTTTTAAATGGTTCTTGGACACGCGGGCCGTGAATCTGCCGGTGAGCGGCGCCTTGCTGCAAAGAAAAGCGAGAGACCTTGCCTGCATCATGGGCTATGACAACTTCGTAGCAAGTTCGGGTTGGCTCTAACGCTTCAAGGAGCGCCACGACATTGTCGGGAGAGCGGTCTTCGGCGAATCGCAATCTGTCGACGAAGCAGAGGCTACCAAGTGGGCGAAAGAAAACATCGTGTGGATGCTAGAAAAATACAGCGCGGAGGATATCTTTAACGCGGACGAAACCGCTCTCTTTTTCAAGATGTTGCCGCACAAGATGTCAGCCCTCAAAGGCGAGTGTGCCATGGTGGCAAACAAAGTAAGCTGCAGATCACTGCGCTACTTTGTGCAAACATGACCGGCTCTGAGAAGCTGACAATTTTCGTAATTGGCAAAAGTGCATCCCCTCGCTGCTTTAAGGGGAAGAGGCAGCTCCCAGTCAAGTACGTAGCCAATCGCAAAGCCTGGATGACCAGGGAGATTTTTTCAAAATGGCTTTGCGAATGGGACGAGAAGCTGGCAAAGGCGGACTGCAAGGTGTGCCTTGTTTTAGATAACTTCACCGCCCACCATACCGCTGCCGTGCTTCAAAAGATCGAGCTGCTGTTCCTTCCTGCCAACTGCACAGCAAAAATACAGCCGCTCGACCAAGGCGTGATTATGTCGCTGAAGGCAGGTTACCGCAAGCGTGTGATAGACAAGCTCCTGCTCAACATGAGGATGAAGCGAGACACCGATGTTGACTTGTACACTGCACTCGAAATGCTTCAGGCGGCGTGGATGAGTGTGATGGCGACCACGATCGCAAACTGCTTTCGACAAACCTCATTTGTCGCCGCACCAGACGCCAGCGATGAGCCATCAGACGAGCCCACTGTGCCGGACGGTTTTGCCACATCAGACGAAGTCGCTGCATCATGGACGGCACTTCGCGACGCCGGTGTCGTGCCCGACTCGGAAGTGGTGGCAACGGAGCAGCTCCTGGATGACGATATTGTGCGCGCTGTCAGTGATCATAACGAAACCAGTGACGATGACTCTGTCGACGAACAGGAGACAAACGTGCCGACGGCATCGGAGGCATTAGACGCGATGGACGTACTGCGCCGCTACTTTGGCGCTCACGAGGGCGGCGAAGATGGCTTGAACATTGCGGCTGCAGCTGAGCGAGCCATCGTTCGCACGAGGAAGATGCATCAACGTCCAATTACGGACGTCTTTGGAGCTAAGTCTGCCTGAAACGCAAGCTGTGTATTTTGAAGTGCATTAAAACAGGTGCATGACTTTTTCTTTTTTATTTGGGAATGCTGTTATTTTGTTGCATACCACCGTGCGGCGGGATGCTATTTCGCTTGCTATTTTTTTGGGGTAAGTACAGTGCAAAATATTTGCAGTAAATGGCCGCTACGGCTATAACGAAATATTGGTTATAACGAGCAAATAGCGGCGGCCCTCCAATTTCGTTATAACGAGGTTTAACTGTACTTGCGGCTTCGTTTATTGCTGGTTACGGTTTTGCTTTGAAAGAAAGAACGAACCCTTTTGAACTTAATGACTTGATTCGAAATGTTAAGACTAAAAGAATACGGTTGTGAAGTGCAAACGGAGAACATTTGCTAATTTATGTTTTCGTGAAAAAAAAACAGCTCCAAGCCACACGAACACACACGGAGCCAGAAGCAGGCCAGGCAGAAGTACGAAAATTAAACAAATGTGTGTACTATATATCATTCCCATGCTCGCTGAAGCGCCGTGCGTTGCAGCTCCCATAGACACTAGTGCCAGAGTTTCCTCTAGTGTATATTAAGAAACTCTATGGTGTAACATATACAGTGGAACTTCGATTATGCGTCCCCCAGTTTCGCAATGACCTGCATTTTATGAGGAATCAGTTTGGTCGCGGCAAAATCCCCATACAAACAATGTATTAAAAAACTTGGTGATACAACGCAGTTTCACGCCGACTTCACATCTTACGACGACTTTCAGATTCCATCGGAAAGAAAACAAACACCTTTACTCGAATCACATGTCGAGCAAATATTCACGAGAGCAAAATATCAACTTGCGTACCCCAAGGAGGACTACAGGGAAAGTAGAGTTATCTTCATTCTCCTGAAAGTTCATGCACTTCTACATGCACCTCAATCGTGTGCATAGGTATCCGCGGTCATTACCTAGTCAAGCTCTATCCATATAGATAGCTTCAGCTGACCAAAAAGCTGATACTTTCACATTTTCGGCCCGTGGAAACATTTCCTGGTCGACATACAGCTGATCTCCTGCCTCTGCCACACTCGCAGTCACTGGTTTACGCACGCATAAGGGCACGACGCAGCTGCTTTCGCCATGCAAGATTACTTTCACATGACATCAACGTTCATAACAACAGTGGGACACCACTAGTTGCGCTTCACGATGCAACAAATTACAATGCACACAGCTCTGATTGATTTGTGGGGTTTAACGTCCCAAAACCACCACACGATTATGAGAGATGTATTGGAGGGCTCCAGAAATTTCGACCCCCTGGGGTTCTTTAACGTGCACCCAAATCTGAGTACACGGGCCTACAACATTTCCGCCTCCATCGAAAATGCAGCCGCCACAGCCGGGATTTGATACCGCGACCTGCGGGTCAGCAGCAGAGTACCTTAGCCACTAGACCACCGTGGCGGGGCAACGCACACAGCTCAGTAGCGCACGGACGCATCCTACATAAACTTGTTGTCCGTCACCATTATGTGCACTGCGTCTGACTCTTCTGATAGAAGGCTCGCGGCAACATGGTTTCGGTTTCATGCGGAGGCAGTTTTTGGACTATTTAGCGCTAGAAGGATGCGCATTGGATTTGATTGTTTTTAAGGCTGAGAATAAAGATTTGCTCAGACCTCTTTCATCTAATTATTGCTGCTGTTAGCTACCACTGGTAACAATAATTTAATCTATCCTCATTGCCTCTGCAATGCAGGAATAACTTCCTGCTCACGGGCAAGTTATTTTTTCGCCCACTTTTCTTTCTTCTTATTTACTTTACATTGGTTCTAATATTTTCTCCTATAGATTCCTCGGCATTATTGTCTGTTAGATCTCATTAATATTGAGTCAAAAACGAGCCTTTAGGTATACACTTATTTCCCTTAACTTCCTAGCCATCATGATGAAAAAATGATAATTTCTGCAATTTTATGTGGTAAAAGTTAGAGTTGTGCGAATATTCAAATGCTTCCAATATTCGAAAAGATAATGCAGTATTGTATTCCCTTCATCAAATTTAAATTACTAGAAATTTTGATTTATTCGAGACAAACGAATAGACGCATACTAGTCCGCAGAAGGGTGCTAAGCTGTGAAAGCAGTTATAGAGGCATATAATAGTGCGCATGTAACTTCTTGTTTTACAAGCGGTTTCACTGCAATGAAGCGATGCTGAACCGTGAAAACGCATATCCGAAAGAAATCCGCATTGCCACAAAGCCCCACTTGAAGGTTGATTGATTTGTGGAGTTTAACATCCCAAAACAACCACATGATTATGAGAGACGCCGTAGTGGAGGGCTCCGGAAATTTCGACCACCTGGGGTTCTTTAATGTGCACCCAAATCTGAGCACACGGACCTGCCCCCCCCCCCCCCCCCCAGAAGGTTAAATGAAGATATTATCGTGTCATTATTATATTTTTCAGTTTTTTTTAGTCTATAAGCTCGTTATGCAGACATATGCTCTAAGTATAGCTAATTTTAAGAGGTAACATATTTGACTAGCTATCATTTGCATTTTACCAAAAGTCATATCCTGCTGCTATTCAAAGTTGTTTCCATTTCCTTTGATGCAAAAAAAATGGCATTTGCGCAAGCCTTGTTTCAAATTTTAAAAAATATTCAGCAGGTTAATTAGGTCATGACAAACACACTCATTTTTCCATATAATACGCGATTAATATATTATTCGAATTCAATTCGAAATTATTTGACCAAAATAATTATTCAATTCAAGCCAAAAATTCACCATTCACACAAAGTAAAAGCACAATATGATTATGAGCCACACAATAGTGAAGGGCTCTAAAAATTAGGCCACTGAAGGTTCTTCAATGTGCACTTAAATCTAAGCACACAGGAATTACCATTCCGTCTCTACCAAAATGCAATCATTCCAACTGGGAATGAACCCACAACTTTTTGGTCAACAGCTAAGTACCACTGTAACATTATGGTAGCTGAAAATAAAAACCAATAGCAACACGAAAAAGGCATACTTTTCCCTTTTCATGGCTGACAGCCAGATGCTGGCGCTTTCCTTGGGGTGATGCCAGGCAGCACATGGCGACTCGACGAATCATGTGAGCACTAAGCAGCTGTCGTATGGTTTGACCCTGCTCCCCAGAAAAGTTCATTCGCACATTTTCGAAGGCTCCTTCTTGTGATCCCAGAGTTGGCACCTACAATGAGTAAAACGAATGTGTCACCCATGAAAAATATAATTAAAACAGTTACTCAGTTGCAGTACGCACCTCACAATTTCCTTCGACCAACAAAAAACAACAGCACCAATAGAAATAGCCTGTCTGATGCCAGTAAGTTTAGCATACCACCTGCTCCACATTTAGTTTGGTATGTAGGTGCTCGTTTTAAAAACAGTATAGCAAGATTCCAGAAAAAATAAAAAGGCCTTGCCTAAAACGTAATAAGAAAGCCAAAGTTTAGCCACTGTAGTGACTGAACAGTGAAAAGGTTCATTGTGGTGAAGAAACGTCATTTGTAGCAAGAATTTTGATGAACCTTTCAACTAGAAGGACAAGTCTTACTATTACTAGTCCAGGAATTCCCTCTCATCCACTGAGCATCATAGATGATTGACAGATGTTCCATACTTTTGGTTCAATTGGTGTTTAAGTGAACAAGTTTGCCAAATAAGTTCTGAATGGAGCCTAGATAGAAGGACCTTAATGGACAAAAATAGAGCATTAGAGGATCAAGGAACAAACATGTTACTTTTAAGACATCTTAGTCGAAATCAATAAGAAATGGACATGGCCAGAGCATGTATTGCCAAGGCAAGACAGCTGCTCATCATTTAGGAGTAACAGCTTGGCACGTGCATGAGGAGGAGGCAGAAAGTTAGGGTGGCAGAAGATTAGGAATAACATGGCCGCAGCAAGCACAGGACAGAGTTAATTGGCATGATACGGGAGAGAGACATTGCAAAAGACGGCCTTTGCTTTAAGTGAGTGTAGTCAGGCTGAAAAAAAAACAAGTTGGCAGGGCTACAACTGAAGTCTGGTGCCACAGGATTTTATTTATAAATGACTATGAGAATGAGGTTGATGCAGCCACAGATAAATTCACAATGCTGAAATCGTAGCCCTTTTGGGTATTATTTTCACCTGAAGTAAACAACTCGACCAGAAAAGCCGGGCTGAGCTGTTAAATAAACTCCTTTCCCACTAAATGCACTCAAAACAACATACAGCAGATTCTCAGTAAACAAAAATCTATTAAACGGAACTGCTGCTTAAATGGAACGACTGCTTCTGGCAGGATTTGTTTCGTGCTTGTATTGTGCATCCTTATTCATCTCTCAGTAAATGAAACAGAACTCCTGCTAAAGGGAACATAATTTTCTGGTCCCTTAAGGTTCCGTTTAATGCGAGTCTACTGTATATTGAACTGGAGAAAGAACAAAAAACAACTCAAGAATTAGTTCAATATATTAGATGATACGGCAACTCAAAAACGAAGAAAAATAGTGCTGAATAAATGGGAACACAAGAAGACAACAGACAGCACAGATGCCTGCGCTGCGTGTAGCGCCAGTGCTGTGTGTTCTCCTCTTGCATCTCCGTTTATTCAGTGCCATTTTTCTTCATCAGTGTGTACCAGCATGCCTAAATTTCAACAGCTGTACCCTAACCTTTCTTTGCATTGTAGCGAATGCAGCTGTGCACCCTCGTTTGATGATACGACAATGAAATCCAAACTCAGGGATATGGTAATGCGGGAAATGAAGAAGAGTACTTCATCGACAAAGCAGGCGATTTGTGTCACGAAACGCTCGGTCATGTTACTTCCCTGTCATGTTACTTGAGATAGCTTTCCGGGAAGCGCGTCATTAATACAATCTGTCTGCTCATCTGATAATTTCTTCTACATGTGTTCACATATTTGCTTATATACAACTGTTTTAATAAATTCTTAGTTGTCGGTGTGCAATGTGCTTAGGTGTCTTCCTTTCGTACTTAGTACAAAATTTGTAATTGTAATTTTTTGCACATCTCTGTTAAACAAAATTTTTTTCACAAGCCTTACCATCAGCTGGTCAACATGTCCAAACAGCTTTTCTTGATTGTGGAGCTCGGCAAGTGCCTTCCGTGCACGACTTGAGCTGTTGATGGGCGAGTTTCGGTTGTATGTCTCCACAATAGCAGGCATAAGAAACTGGATCAACTCCAGAACAGTTCCAACCAGGCTTGTAGAAACCTGAAGAGAAGAGTTTTTAGTATACATATCATTAAAACTCTAAAGTAAATGAACAAAAATTAATCTTAGTAAGTCAACATAGTCAAAGATGAACTTGTAAACACTATATTATGTTTACTAGGTAAACCATCTAAGCATAGTTTTCATACATGCTAATCTTAAGTCTTGATGATGATGACGAGTGCTGCTTTATGGCACAAGGGCCAATTGATGGCCAAAGAGCACCAATCAAGTAGACAAAAGATGTGAACAATAATATGGTATGTGGCTGTATAGGGTCTTTTAATTTTCTTGTGGTAACGCGGGTAAAGGTATGAAGTATTAAAATCATGACAGTGGCGTGAAATATGTGGAGTGAGAGTAAATGGCCAAAGGTAGTGACCATAAAACTATGATGGAGGTGTAGCCACCACAGCCGCAACCTTGTACAAAGGTCGTAGTGAGGGTAAATGGCTAAAGATTGTGATCATAAAACTAAGATGATATAGCCACCGCAGCCGCGACCTTGTACAGAGGTTGTGATACGAATACCCTCGAAATATGCATTGAAAGCTATGCCCATCACTTAAAAACATAAACAGTGATTGAAGTTTAAAAGTGGAATCCCTACCGATGAGCATGACAGGATGTAGTGAGAGCTGCTGTTGGTAGAGTCATAAAAAGTACTTTTTTATCATACAGCTAAACCCCTTAAAGGGAAACATGGGGCTTAAAAGCTGAAAAATCGTGAAAAAAATCGATTTAAAAAAAATGGCAGTTTTGAAATTTCCATCCAATATTTTACTATTTCCTCAAGTTTTTATGCAGTTTGAAACAATATCTTAACTGTAATATGAATTTTCAGCACCAGTGCCAGCTAAATACGAGCCAAGGATTCGGTAAACAAAGCACTTTTTTCATGACACGCGACGGCCGCCATACTTGTCCGGCAGCCGCGGATCATATATCGTTTGAAAGCGCAGCCTTTTGTCTTGATTTCGCGCTGTTTCCGGCACCGAGCGCACATTGGCTGTGAAGATATCCCGCTTCAAGAAGAAGTCCCAACGCGTGAAGTAATTGGCCAGTCACAGCACGTGACTCGCAGCGGGCCACGCCATTGGCTTGACTGGCGTCGTCTGCATCACTCTGCGGTAACTGTGCGCACACCGTACGCGTGTTTTCCCACGCGAGCAACGATGTAGACCCCGTCACCGAAAATCGCTACGAAGAAAAAATTTGAAACAAAAAGGAAAAGGAAGACTCTGTACAACTTCCAGAAACGCGCTGCCGTGCCATCACCAGTTCCTGACCATGCGAAGAATGACTCGCTACCCGAGTCGAACAGCGCCGATGCAGACGTGCTGGGCCTAGTCCCCCAAAGCACTCTTGACAACGGCCGCAGCTTGTCGTCGTCGTTTCGGCACGACACTGCAATGTTGCAGCCAGATGATTTGCGGCGTACAGGCAGTGAAGCTCAAAAAAATCTTAAAGTACTTGCTTCAACTCCTGCTACTGCCCGAAAATCTGACCTTTTGGATTGTGATAACGCTGCTGCACAAGCTAGCAATGATCTCACTACAAGTTTTTTTTTTTTTCATTCCTAATTACGACTCTATGAATGCGCTGCTGACGTATAACAGTTTCAAGAGCACAATTTGTGGTGGTAACCTCCCGGTGCAAAAGGTGAGCAATATTTTGGCCTAGCTGTGAAGTTTGTTGCCGAATGCGCGCGATCTGCAACGATGGTGTAAAGGAATGGAGCTCGCCGCACGTGAGCGGCAAAGCGAAGCTCAGGCCCTTTGCCATAAACATCCTTGCGGAGCGTGCAACGCAGAGCACCGGAAAGAGGGAAACCGCAATGAATGACATTTTTGCGGCGATGAACATCTTGTGGAGAAGAATTCACAATAAAACGTGGCAGGGACACTTGAAAACGAAGCTCGTCCCCGCAGCAACTAAAGGGGCAGGAAAGTTGATGGGGACATGTGCGCAGTTAGTACACGATTTGTACCGTGACCTAAAAATAAACAGCCCGGACAACATCGCTATTTCGTACGACGGCACATGGATGATGCGCGGCCACTCGTCTCGTATCGGCGTCGACGCGGTAATTGAGCTGTACACAGGATTTGTGCTTGATTATGTAGTGCTCATCAATTTTTGTGCTGGGTGCACACGAGCACCTAAAGAAGATGACCCTGCCTACCAAGCTTGGATGGAGGGACACGCATGCCAGAAGAACACGGACAAAAAAGCTGAGGAGATGGAGGTCCAAGTGGCACTGATCCTCTTCCTAACATCGCTGCAGAAGCAGAAGCTGCGGTACACGACCTTGTTGTCGGATGGCGACAGCCGCGCTTACCTTGCTCTTCAAGATGCAAAAGTGTCTGGGATACATACCCGTGGACTAGGAATATTGTATTAACCCCATATCCAAGAGAATGGGCACAGCACTGCGAAATCAAGTTTCCAAGCAGAAGTCCTCTAGTACAGAGAGTCTCGGTGGGAAAGGAAAACTGCCTGGTGAGCTTATCACCAAGCTTAGCAGCTACTATGACTGGGCCTTGAAATCGCACAAAAGGTGATGTCAAGGGCATGCATAAGGCAGTCATGGCCACATACTACCACATCACCTTAAACGATGTCACTTCAAACCACGCTCTCTGTCCAGAGGGCCCAGATTCATGATGCCGCCAAAATGCAGCAAAGGCCAAAGGTGAGCCTGCTCCAAAACACTGCCACAATCTGCCACCCCATGTATGTGAGGCACTTCTTCCAGTCTATAGACATTTGTCTGATGAATCACTTCTTCGGCGACACCCAAAATAACGAGTGTCTCCACTCAATTGTTCGGGCACTGGCACCGAAGGAGAAACATGCATCATTGTTTGCTGTACAAGCTGCTGTGGCAGAGGCTGTAATGAAGTAACACTCTGGATATGAAAAAGCTTCTACAGCCATACTTTAACTACAGCTAAACCCTGGCCAACAGTTGACTAAGCGCATGAGTGAAAAAGACCGCCACTTTGCTCAAGCATGAGCACGCAAACATGCTTCTGCTGAAAACTTGCAGCTTGTGCTAAGAAAACCAAATCGAAATGACTCTAAACAGACAGACTATTTTCCTGGAGGCTACTGATGCCATACAATTTGTGAATATTGTAAATAATTTGTGATGTTCTGTATTAAACATGAGCCTATTTTGTTTTTTGACATTTTCTCAGAGTCTCATTTTCGGTGTTTTTAAAACTTGCCAAAGCGATATTTTGGTCTTTAGGGCATATAAAACCACAATTCTTGTGGTGGCATATAGCTACATATCTCTGCTACGCAAATGTAGGGACAGATTTTTCAATCTAGCCTTCGTAAATTTTTATTCTTGGTACAAACTGGATGACATGATAGAAGTATCTGGAGATTGAACTTCGAATCGCTATAAAATTGGTAATACCTGTAATATTAGAAAGTAATCCTACATTTGTGTTCATTACACTTCATAGTATCAGCTATATGTCAATATTAGTATTCTGGCCAATAACTGGATCACATGATAGAGATATCTGGAGATTAAACTTCGAATCGCTATAAAATTGGTAATACCTGTAATATTAGAAAGTAATCCTACATTTGTGTTCATTACACTTCATAGTATCAGCCATATGTCAATATTAGTATTCTGGCCAATAACTGCCTTACCATTGTTTTGATAAACAATATAAGATCCCTGCAACCACCCAACCAATTTCAAAAGCAATTATATTTTTGAAATCAGCTTGAAAAACTCTGTCTGGGTTACAGTTTTCATTGAATTTAGTGAAAAAATAAAAAAAAGATTCAAAAACCCTGTTTCCCCCCCCCCCCCTTAATAAGAGACATGCTCCAGGAAGCAGTTTTTGTCTTTTATATGAGGTGTCTCTTATAAGCAGGGTACCCCGTATGCATTTTCTTATAAACCCGTATTTTACTGTAGGCATGCTTATGTCTCTTATACCCATTTGTCTCTTATATCAGTGTTTTTATAATGGGGTTTGACTTGCATCTCACTCATTGCACTGGACGAGGATGTGGAGAACCGTAGGTGGTTCTCCACATCTCATGATGATATATGGTGTTTTTTGGCGCAAGGGCCATTTGATGGCCAAAGAGCGCCAGTTCATGGGACAACGAATGTGGACAATGATTGTGATTAGCGGCTGTATAAGGGCCATAAAATTCCTCGCGGTAAGGCGGGTAAAAACATACAAGTAATAAAATCATGACCATGCCGTGAAATGTGTGTGTGGCGTGAATAGATGACAAAAGTTGGTGATAATGTAAAACGATGGTGGACATGTATGGCATTAGCACAAGTACCTCACTGGATCATACCCTTGCGTCCAAGGGCCGTGAGGTAAGTGCTTTCCTGTGTAGCCACCGCAGCAAAAACCTCCCTGGAGAGGTCATGCTACGGGATGCCCGAGTATATGATATGAAAATTATGAAGTTTTTTTAAAAATGCTAACAATGATTTATGACTAAAAAGCAGTTCCCTACCGATGAACATTGTAGGGTGTAAAGGTATATGTTGTCGGTAGGGTAATGGAAAATGTTTTCTTAGAGTTTCTAAGTGTTTGCACTGGATTAGTATGTGAAGGACTGTTAATGTTTCTCCACATTTGTCACACAATGATGGATCGTCTCCAGACAAAAGATAGGTGTGTGTCGCGTATGTGTGTCCTATCCTGAGCCTCGTTAATATTACCTCTGTATGACGCGATTTCGATACGGGCAGCCAATGACCAAGGTGTGGCTTAATAATGTGTAGTTTGTTTTGTGTGTGTGTATCCCACTTGCTTTGCCAGTATACCCTGAGGTTTCGTTTGAGAGACGGCTTAATATCAAGGACCGGGATTGATATGGGTGTAGGGGCAGTGCTTTTGTGGACGGATGCAGCGAGTTGATCCGCCCTCACGTTGCCTTGAATCTCACGGTGCCCTGGCACCCAGCACACTACAACATGTTGTTTGAGTGTGTAGAGTGTG